GATAGAGGAATGGCACTAAAAGCTATTTTGAATGAATCGTTGAGCTTGAGATTTCTCTGCAGTGTCCGTTCGATCTTGAGAAGCCGACGTGTGACCCTTTCCGCCTTTTCTATAAGACGCTAAATACTTTCACTCTGATAATGATGTTAATCGAAAGGGTAAAAACTACAGTTTATCTCTATCAACCTCACTTCAACAACAGCTAAGCATGAGAAGATAAATCTAAATAATGTTCCTTTGTGCCCCTTACACTGTCCTCACCCTTATAGCTAGGCTAAGCAACTTAAATAGCTTGGCTGGCTACAGGGCTTTTTTTTCTGTCTCGTTGACGATTTTTCAGATGCATTCGGGCCGTGTGAGGTGACTGGAGGTAGTTTAGGAAGTTCTGCGTCTGTACCAGGCCTTTGCACTGCCCTTGATGAAGTCCAGTGCTACTGGTAACCTGCAGCGATCCCCTGCTTAACCTGCAATGGACTACAGAGTATATGTATCATGCAATCCGGAGGAAGTAGCTAGTAGTGATACTTCCTATCCGCTGGTGTTACATTCTGTTCTAAGCCTAAGATACGATTCTGCAATATTGGTGGCTCAGCCTAATAGCAAGACTGAAATTTTTATATAAGGGAGACAATAGTACAGTTTCACAGAGAGTCTTGCATTCTGTGTGCCAACCGCAAAGTATTTATTGTCATATTACTAAAATGTGCACTACAGTTACTTATCACCAACCTATGCGTGAGCGCATCTGTGTTCTGTGTAAGATTTCTGTCGCTTCGCTTGGCAAGTCCTGTCTACGTCTTATTGTTAGCTAATCACTTTAATAAACTTCGTTTCCATCTTCATCATCATGAACATTATTATCGTAACTACCGTTTCTTTAAGCGCGTCAAAGAATTTTCTGTTTTAACATGGTATTAACCGATCGTCCTGCGAGCAATGTTCCGCACTCAAAAAAGGTGAGCATAAATTTCAAGCAAAGTGCTTCTTTTAGAGTTTCAAAGACAATCAAATCAAGACACGATCTTTTAATTTTTCTAGTTATAACCACATATCTTGATTTTGAAGGAAATCTTACAAATTGAGATTCAACTAGCTTGGTCCGCCTAAGGAGCAATGCACAGCTGAATAAATGTCCACAGCTTCTGCTCGAGTTCCCATGGTCTTAAGTTTCATTGTCAAAGAAAACCGGGCAGGAGCAAACGTTCGAGGTCGGCGTTTGCCCTCCCCCTTATTACCATATAATAGCTAACTGAAAAGATTATCAACAGTGGTATTTTCAGAAGTTGGTGGGTTTTTTATTTCAAGATAAAATCCTTTCTGTAATCAGGGCTATCCACGGGCATCAAATTGAATGATTTTCAGCCAACTTTTGTCGACCCTATATGAAAGAACGTTAAGTGAGAAAAACTTACCATAGGTTTTTTCACACTTTCAACCCACAATGAACTGATTGAAGTCTAACAATGTCTCTTTTGCTAAACGCTATGTTTTCCATGTCGCACTTAATATTAGCAGAGTTTCAAAGACAAT